GTATCCACTACTCTCATTATTGGTCCTGAGGGGTTTATCTGTCCTGGATTCCCTGTCTCCAGCTCTTATCTGTACCAGTGTAAGTGCTCTGGTCTAGCTGGATTTGTAAGGTAGAATTGGAATCATGATAGTGTGTGTGGGGGGTGGGGGGTGGCAAGAGGAAGTATTAAAGAACTAGAGGAAAGTTGTATGTTTCTTTGGTGCTACACTGCACCCTGACTGCCTCATCTCTTCCTTGTGACCCTCCTGTAAAGGTATCCAATTGTCTACAGATAGGCTTTGGGTCTCCACTCTGCACTCCCCCTCATTCACATTGATATGGTTTTTTGTTCTGGATCTTTGATGCCTGATACCTGATCCCATCGACACTTCATGGTTACACAGGCTGGTGTGCTTCTTCCATGTGGACTTTATTGCTTCTCAGCTAGATGGCTGCTTGTTTGTCTTCAAGTCTTTAAGAACCCAGACACTACATCTTTTGATAGTCGGGCACCATCAGCTTTAATTGTCCAATTTAAGGCTTAAGATTTTCCTCTGTTTATGTCCAGTTAATGAACTCAGTTCCTTCAGCTTTAAAAATTCAGGGGTTCTTCAGCTCTATCTTTGCACAGTTAGTTCCTCCATGTAAAGGCATCTGACAGCCCTCTCACACTAAAACTCAGTGACGTGACCAGATCGTTTCAGAGGGCAATTTGAGAAGACAAATGAAAGTATTATTGTGTAATATGCTGCTGGAGGAGTAAAACATCAAAGATATAATAGTGTGGACAAAGGGAATTTCATTCAGTTTATGTCATAGAGAAAAGAGAGGTGGGAATGGGCTTTGTGTGACATAATCCAAAGAAAATTATAGGCAGAGCCATTGATATACAGATTTGTTTGTAGTTTCCTCCTTTCCACAGAGAAACTGAACATAAACAGTCATTTCTGCAAAGATCTTTGTAAACAATTTTTAATAAAGAGGGCACTTTTTGATCCATCAGGTCTGAATTGAGGACAAATAACTAAGCTCTCTTATTTACATGTCTTAGTTTACATGAGAACTCCCTTAAGTCTACCCTTGTTATTCTTTGCCTATGCTTCTGCTTCATTTACCTGTCTTTCCCATAGCAATCTGTTCCTCCTTGCTTCCAGGATTACCAGTGAAAGTCAGAGCTAATGCTCTTTCCTGTATCCTGGTAAGTTCATCATGGGAGTTTGGTGGTCAGAAAAAGAGTGCGGGGTACTGTGGCATTAGATGGAATTAGGAATATTCAGTGGCTTAGAATAAACTGAGGAGCCCAGGCAGTGTAGTGGTTATGTGTTGGGCTGTGATGAGCATTGTGGACAGTTCGAAACCACCAGCCACTTCCCAGAAGAAAGACTGGGCTTTCTATTCCCATAAATAGTCTTGGAAACCCAGAGTGGATGTCACTGAGCCAGCTTATTTTACTTTTACTCTTACCCTAGTGGCCACTGAAAGACAATCTATGAAAAACTGTCTTCGAATGACTAGAAACAATGAGCAAAACTTTACATATAGTCATAATCAAAGTAAGTGTTCAATGGATATTTGCTGGATGAATACACAAAACAGACACCCAGTGGTAATTCTCCTCTGAAGTCCAAGAAGAGATCTATTGTGGAGGCTAATCAATTTTGGCGAATTGCTTACGCTACATAGGACAAAATGAAACTGGCATATCCTTTCAAGCCAGTTTTTCTGGTTAACACACATAGAGGCCTTGGAATATATTTATCAATTGCCATTGTCTTTAGAGAGAAATTGGATTTTCCCTTTTCTGCTTTGAAGCTTGCTTTCCTCATGAGTCAGGGACAGAAATGTAATGCAATTAGAGATTAAAGATAGGGCATTTCCAAGTATGAAATGCCTTGGGCCCAACAGCATGAAAACATCTTCACTTTCTTCTCAATAGCTACTAGTCAAATCCACAAAAATATCTTCAGAAGAAGGAAGTTGCTTGTTTTTACATATTTCAAATGTGCGTTTAACAAGAGTCAGATGAAGAAAATATAAGAGAACTGATTTTGGTGATATAGATAAAAGGAAAAACCAGATAATACTTTTGTTTCAATCAAAAATTATTTAAGGACACCAAAGCTGCCCTGCTCCATTTACATAGATGAAAAATAAAACCTGGGAAAAATTTATATTGTAGAAAAAACCCAGCAAATGGGGATGAAAAATCTACAAATGTAAGTCAAAAGGCATCGCTATAAAATCATAACTCACTAGTCTCATTGTTGTTGAGTGGATTGTGATGCTCACTGACTGGCTCAAATAGAACAGAATGACACTTGTGGGTTTCTGAGACTATAATTCTTTAAACACAAGTATAAACTCTCATCTTTTTCCTGTGGAGTGGCTGCTGGTTTTGAACTGCTGATTGAGAACAGAAGCCCAGCACAACCCCCAGGGCTATGCCCCCACAGCACCTTGTAAAAGCTTGTTGTTTTTGTTAGATGCCACCAAGTTCTGATTTTTATTGACCCTATGTACAACAGAACAAAACACTGCCCTGCCCTGTGCCATTTTCACCACTGTGGCTGTGTTTGAGCCTATCACTGCAGCCACGGTCTTAATTCAGCTTGTCGAAGGTCTTCCTCTTCGGCCTCTTCTTCACTGTCCTGTACTTTATTAGACTTGATGTCTTTCTTTCTCCACAGGCGGGGGTCCTCCTGACAACATGCTGTCCTTGCCCCTAAGGAGTATTCTGACTGTATTTCTTCCAAGACAGATTTGTTTGTTCTTTTGGCAGTCCATGATACTTTCAATATTGTTAACCAGCACCATCATTCAAATGTATCCATTCTTTTTCTGTCTTCTTTATCTAATGTCCAACATTCACATGAGTATGAGGCAACTGAAAATACCTAGTTTGTCAGGCATACTTTTAAGTCTTAACATCCTTACTTTCCAACATTAAAAAAAATTATATTTCCTTTTCCAAAACCATCTTATTGGGAGCTAATACAGATATAATATCATTCCATAGTTCAATCACATCAAGCAGTATTGTACAGTTGCTAATAATATTTTCAAAACATTCTTCTCCTTCTTGAACTCCTTTATATCAGCTCCCCTTTACCTCTCCTCCCCCACTAAACCCCCAGGAACCCTTATTCTACTTGTTGTTTCATTAATCCTTGGTTTTATACATTGAAAAACAGAAAACTATATAATAAAAATTCAAGAGGGCTACCTTCAATCACAAAATGCATCAGAGATAAGAGTCTAGTGCAGCAGATTTACCCAACACAACACACACTTTGATTTCATGATCACTGCTTCCAGGAGCAATGATAGTGGATCCAAGAAAGATGAAACCCTTGACAATTTCTTATCTTTTCTCCATTTATCATAATGTTACCTATTAGTCCAGTTGTATGGATTTTTTTCATTAAATTGTAGTCCATACTAAAGGCTGCAGTTTTTGACCTTCATCAGCAAGTGCTCCAAGTCCTTCTCATTTTCAGTATGTAAGGTTATGCCGTGTGCATATCGAAGATTGTTAATAAGCTTTCCTCCAATGTGGATCCGTCATTCTTCTTCTGATAATCCTTCTGACATCAGCAATGATATCCATAGTAGCATGTTCTCTTCTGAATCCAGCCTGAACCCTGTCTATGTACTGCTGGGTGACATTCAGCAAAATTTGACTTCTCTGATTACTGGCTCAGATTAAATAAGCATGGTATACAACCCTGATTCACACCTTTCTTAATTTTAAATCATGCAGTATTTCCTTGTTCTGTTCAAACAACTGCCTCTTGATTTATGTACAAGTTCCACAGAAGCACAGTGAAGTGTTCTGGAATTCCCCTTCTCAAGGCTATCCATAGTTTGTTATGTTCCACACAGTTAAATGCCTTGGCATTGTCAATAAAACACAAGTAAACATGTTTCTAGTTTTCTCTGCTTTCAGCCAAGATCCATCTGCCATCAGCAATGATATCCCTTGTTTCGTGTCCTCTTCTGAATCTACGTGAACCTCTGGCA